AGGGGGAATAAAAGGGGGTTTATCTTACACTAGAGTTAAGGGCTGGTCTGGGGCCGCTTGCAGCTCAGCGCCTCTTAAGAATAGTGTAGTGTCACTTGTCCTTGTGGGGGCGGGAGGAGGAGGACTGTGGGAGGGCACTGGAGAGGCTTCAGGGCCTTGTTGACGCCAATAGGGAGGACGGAGGAGAAGAATGGAGGAGGCAATGTCAAGGAGCTCATGAGACGAGATCCTGGGTCCACTCTCTCTAAAGGTCGCCACGATAAATATTCCTCGTAACTGAAGATGAAAGAATGTACCTAACTGGTTAATGTAGACTCGAGCACACACACACACACACACACACACACACACACACACACACACACACACACACACACACACACACACCATCCAAAATTAGCATAAAAAAGGTGCTACTTACACAAGAACTAATCATTTACCTCCAATGAGACAAAATAAACGTACAAAATCTATCCAAAATTTTTGTATTGGTGCTAAGTGAAATATTAAGGGAAGTGTCACTAGGTTTTTTTTTTCTTCTCTTAGATGTTATTCTTGTATTTTATCGTAAGTCAACTAGGAAGATTTTTCTTTACATTTTCACTTACGAGAAATGTTCACCGCACGAACCTCTTGGAGAATCTGGGCCCCTGAGCGATGGTTGTAACAAAGGTACTGAAGAGGGAGGGAGGGAGGGTGCTCTAGTGGCAGCCAGGGCGAGCACGATAGTCACCACCCCACCACACCCCTCTCCTTCTCCATCACACACTTCATCCTCCTCCTCTTCCTCCATCCCACATCTCCTCCTCCTCCTCCAAAATCCTCCTCCTCCTCCATCTCCATCTCCTCCTCCTCCTCCTCCTCCTCCTCCTCCTCCTTCACCACACTCCGAGGCATGAGACACCCCTTCTCCTCTCAATGACACAGTAAGGTTAGGTTAGGTTTAGTTAGATAATGGTTAGATTAGGTTCAGGTTTTCTTAGATTAAGCTTGATTAGGGTTACACTTGAGTAAATTATGTCAGCGTTACAACTTGAATAAATTAGGTCAAGGTTACGTTTGGAGAAATGAGGTCAGGATTAAATCACTTGAGATTGAGGTAAATAAGTGTTCGATTAGGTTAAAGTAGGTTAGGATTAGATTGGGTTATGGTTATTTTAGGTTAGGGTTACATCTGGGAATATTAATTTAGGTTTATATTACATGAGATTAGGTTAAATTAAGTTTAGAGTAAGTTAAGTTAGGTTAGGATTAGATGAAGTTGGGTTAGGTTAGATTAAGTTAACTTATGATTAAAACAAGTTAGATTATTCTTGGATTAAGTTGGATTAGTCATGGATTAAGTTAGATTAGTCTTGGATTAAGTTAGATTAGTCTTATATTAAGTAATGTCAGGGATAGATTAGGTTAAATCTGTTAAAATAAAAGAGACAAAAACAGGTCTACTCAATAAATACAAGGCAAGAGAGAGACGATACAAGGAGACATCGATAAGTACACCTCAGAGGAAACAGATACCTAACAGTGAGAGAGAACTTGTGGAGACATTGGCAGACAGAATCACGAAGAGAGAATACCAGACCTCACAATACATATCCCCCCCTCCCTGGTCCTTATACTCCTCCTTCTCCTACTACCCCTCACCTCCCTCCTCCTCCTCCCATGTCCTTTACCTCCCTCCTCCTCCTCACAGTATCCCTCCCTCCCTCACTCCCTTCCATTCCTTAAACTACTCCTGCTCCTCCTCCCAGTATCCCCCACCTCCCTCCTTCCCTCGTCCACCAGGCTGAGGACGGGGTGTTATTAAGTAAATCAGGACCCAGAGCAGGGTTGGTGAGTCTGGTGGGAGGGGAAAAGAGTTGTATGGATGTGAGTGACTCAACGACTCAACACAGTGACTCAGGCTTTACATATACAGTATAAACTATACAGTCCCCTTCACTAGTGCGTTTACAGGGGCTCATCATACAAGCATTTCACAAATCATTATCTTTGAGATATTTGTTTTAATATTGTTTTAATTTGATTCCATAGTGAGTTTACTCTTGTGAGTTTCCTTCTGTCGAATGTAATCAAACACAGCGCTACCACACTGCACAAAATCTGACGAGCCCCTGTAAACGCACTACTGAAGGGGACTGTACATACACAGATACGATGTTGTAAGTACAAATTTAGTTATGAATTCTTTCCCGGGTGTTGGAAGTGTCACTGTGGTTATGTCTTTACGAAGTGGGATTAGATATGTATCCAGTAACAGCTTTCACGAGTCTTTGTTAGGTTAGGTTGCTTCATGTTGGTGAGTGGACAAGTTTCGGTGCTGTATTAAGTCTAGGTGCGTAGAAACTCCTTATGTGGTGATAATATTATAAGAGGTGGTTCTTTTGCTTTTATATAAATAAATATGAACTTTAAAACTGCCTCCACTTGTTCCTCCGTTCTTTATTGTCTCACATCTATGTCTTAATCTTTCTCTTTTATTTGGTAATTGTATTTTTACGACATTCTGAATTTATTTTTATATATATGGCAGATGAAATGTAATGAAATATTTTAATCTTTAATTTAGGAGCTGTAATAAATTGAAAAACTTTATTAAAGGAATGTAAAAAAAAAGTAATACCCAGAGTTTGTTGACATCTAGCTGAGAGAGACGGGGCTCCCTCCTTCCCATACGAGTCACTCTGCCAGATATGTTTGTTTTTGTGAAGCACTTGATGGCGTCTTTAAGTATTCATTGGACCATAGATTCACCCATTTCTTCCAGTCTTGTTGTTCCAGGAATCAAATGTCACTGGTAGAGACTCGTGAGGCCCTAAAGATGTGGATGTTTTTGATGTTCTTTATAAAGTGACGCCAGTCAAGACGGTTTGGTTGTTCTTTTCGTTCTGGAGGATCGATTGAGAGGCTTTGAGGCACAGCGTTTATTTTATTATTATTATTGTTGTGGTAGTTAATATTATTGTTATTTTTTTATTACTACTATTATTATTATCATCATTATCATCATCATCATCATCATCATCATCATCATCATCATCATCATGATCATCATCACGCCGACCAATATGTGTTCACGGATGTCAACAAAGGTCAGAGTACCACAGAAAGTATAAATCCAGTGTGAGTTGTTCCCTTACTCGAGTGCATTGGATTATTATTATAGATCTCTATTCTTATGATTTAGCAAGGTAAGAAACACACCTGCTGGACTCGCACGCCAGGACGCAGCTGCTGTACCCTCACAGGAGACTCTGAACCGTATTAACACAACAGCCTCGTACTCAGTCAGGCCGCCTCCTCTATGTAATGCTCCACAAGACGAATTGGGGCCGGGTTGCGGACAGAGCATTGACCCCGTGCCGTCCTTCACTACCACCATCGACAAGCTTCATCTCACACCTTATGTCTCCCTCAAGTGAAATAACACGAACTTGAAGCAGCGAAATTCCCATTCAGTCGTTGGAACCTGAAAAGTTGTTGAATAGGATGGTTAGGTCAGGGTGTTTATTCGTTGGGTGAAATAAGCTGAGGTGCCTCATCTTCACGTGATCCTTTAGTCAACCCAATGAGCGCCTTTCCTAACCTAACTAATACCGTATTGTTCTCTTGCGCGTAAGGGATATATAACCCAGTGTGGCTTCACGCAGTCAGTAACCTTCAGAAGGGTGGTCAGTTCTTGGGCACCCTTATAAAGGCTCAGTCTAACATTCACACTACACACTTTATACATAACAATGGTGTAGGTTAAGTCAAGTAGAGTGTGTTGATGTGTGTGTGTGTGTAACCAACTGGCTAACCTCAAATAGTTTCAAGACCCTTCCGTCATATCCAGCATGATGGATTACCCCCAACGCGACTCTACTTAATTCTGTTTTTTAGCATATTTGAATTTATAACTTAACTATGATTACTACAGCGCTGTTTGTTCAGATGAATCATAATATGAATTTATATCACGAAGTATGTAGTGTTTTGTCGCGTATACAGTATAGTGTTTACGGTGTTTATGTACAAATAGCTCTACCGGAGGGGGTTTGAGTATAGGTCAGTGTAGTGTGTATAGATGTTAAATTATATCTTTTCGGCTGTGGAATCGAAAACGAGGTGGTACAATGTTCATATTTTGATCTTTATATTTACCACAACAAGCCCACGGAGTTGCTGTATTCTGGGGGTAAAATGGTGACAGTTTAGAGTCACCTCTTCGACACCCCCACCCCCCTTATATCACCTCATGATTAAACACCTTTAACGTTAATTAAACCCATACTTACCTTACCCCTCTGGTAGCGTTAGGGTGCTTAATCATCAGGTGAAATAAACTGAGGGGGGGGTAAACTTGACGTGATCCTTGACGGCGTGAGTTGGCATCTTGGTCAACACGTGCTGAGTAAAGTAGTGATTATTTTTATTGATTGCTTACGGGCATAAATAACACAGTATTCAGTTGCTTATGGCGTGTTATTGCAGTGGTTTATCTCTCTCTCTCTTCCTGAATTACAACTTTTCTTTTTTGACCATTGAATGTCCGACTCATTATGGCCGATACTGAACGAGGTCTTGAGCTTCGGTCTTATTCTTTTTCTCGTTCTTTCTTTCATTTTTCTTTCCATGCACCTTTCGCTTGTACAACATTGTTTAGGCTTCATGTTTGCTTACCCGAGTTATCTTCTTCACTTTGTTCATTTGCATATCGTGAACACCAATATAATCTTTCTAGTTATTTGTTTCATCTCCTGGATAGATAAGAGCATAACAAGACTTTATTAATTTATTTTATTAATTCGTTTAGTTCATTATACACTGTGAAAGAAAATTTTCATCTGGTCTTAAGCTTTTCAAAATATGTTATCTAAACTGTATTTATTAATGTCGTGGCTTGGCAGATGTTAGGCGCATCAGACATCATCATTGGTCTCACCTTTTTTCTAACAACCACAATAAACATCAACACCTGAGGTCAAGAATACAGAAATTGGGGTTAAAACAAATATAGGTGATATCTTTTATATTTTATTCTAAAAATCAGTAATACTGTACAAGGCAAATGCCATCAATAGATACTTTCCACCATAGGAACTTAAATAACTCATAGGAATGTCTTTGTCACGTATGGCGATAACATCCACTATCAATAGAAGATCTGTTTTAAATATTCCTTTAAAGAATTGTCAGAATACTACACAATTACAAATATCGATATACAATTCTATTTTACTCTTCACTACAGAATATAAAGAATGTATCCGAACTTTTATTAACGCCCGGAGAGTAACGTTCACTTGGACACAGTTGACAAATAAATAGCTCATCCACACACATCAAGTAACAGTACAAAATTGTCAGCGTGGATGTCGCCGATACACTGAGCACACAAAAATAAATTTAAATTTTCATGTATTTACAACCACAAGGCGAGAAACAAAAACTGTATTTACAAACACATAGTTGTACACAGGCTATGTTACAGACCCTGATGGTATCTTAACGTGATGAGTGCCTCGATAATCTAACATGACTTGTACAACGTTAGACAAGTCATATCAAACATAATTCTAACCGTAATCTGGATAGTGATATGTATCGTAATGGTTTGTGACATAACCCGTACAGCCATGTATGGGATAGTGAACCAAAATACATGAACACGACAACAACATATTCCAGTAGCAAACTATTAAGCTTCGCATCTCTATCAGTGAACATAATAACGGGTAAAATTGACGCCAACTAGACATATTCTAGTGAGCATCTAACTTTGTTTCTAGCCGAGATAACTTTAAAGAGATGCTGACCCGTTGTGTTGTGGTTCAGGATAATGGTACAATCTGTCTAGACTTACGATAAATGTAAGGATATGGTCGAGTCGTTGATGTGTTTGAGATGAGGCATGAGCATGGAGTGACGGTATAGGAATGAATAGTGAAATGATTATAATATTGGCATGGTGGGTAACGAAAAGTGAAATGATGCAAATGTGGAAATGGTATGAAATAATGGCAAGTGGTTGATGAATTAATGACAACATGGGCCTGATTTTCTGGTGGTAATATGTGCACGAGTCACAGACGATACATGAAGACAAAGAGATAATGCGTTTATGATTACACTTTGGTACAGCAAAACCTCCATTTCTGCCTCAGTGGCTCACGTCAACTCCGCCACAGATCATTATCATACACGTGTGGTTGCTGACCTCACGTCATACACTATAGCACCTGCAGGTAATGTTGGTAACACTGGTGATGGCATTAACAAAATCATATTTTTTTTTTTGCTAGAGGATCTTCTAGCTTTTACAGTACTAAAATACATTCAGGCAGTTACCATATAGCCTACTGTACTCTCATTGAACAGACGTGAGCTGTGAAAACCCGAATTCTCACAAAATGTATAAAGGTTATGCGCTATAAACAAATTTAGTGCTAATTTTTCCCGCTACCCCAAACAGTTCCTAACTGTGGCGGTGCTATGGCGGAGAGCTGACATTCACTAGATGTTTATTAACTTGGATTCCGCCTCACACGGAGGTACCAAGGGTTACTGGTAGGATGATATTGTTATCCACATACAAACCGAGGGCAACCATAACACTGCCACATGTAGAAACCTGTATACCTTTTTATTACTTTCTGATATATGCAGGAATAGAATCAAAACACTGAATAGTCGCAACAGTGCTATCTAGTCTCCACCGTTGTGAAGTTTAGAGAATAATCTTTAATCTGTTCAAAAGGTCTCTAGTGTTTGGTATGGGTCAGGTAGCGCTGAAGTGAAAAACAAGTGAACCTTTGGTTTGTGGCACAGAGCGGGTGAGCCACAGCAGCGGGTGGAGCACGGATGATGACGTCCGTCTTTGGTAATAGGACTAGGCCACCGTCGCCTTCCCGAGGACAAAGCTAGGGACGCTGGGGAGTGGTGCCGACCATGTGGGACTGCTGCTCTTCCTGGAAGAACCATGTAGGGCTGTGGTTTTCAGCTGAGGGAATCTTGTGCAGTTGTGAGCACCTTCTAGTTTACCCATCAAGGGCTGAAGACTCCCTTCACGACGCGTTGGTGTTGCAGGTTCCCTTGTGAAAAATGTGTGGGTTGTGGACCTCCCTTTAGAGCTGCGCGACACTATGATCCAGTGTTGAGCTTTGAACTTCAAGGGGCTGTAAACCCCCCCCCCCTCCGATAGATCTGCATGGTACTGTTTGTTTTCGTAAACTTGTGCTGGTCTTGTTTAGTACCTACGGTAGCAGATACTGTGGTGCCGGAGTGTAGAAGTAGCCGGACGCTCAGGTGGAGTATGGCACATTGTCCCTCAAGACGGCCACGTTCTTCATGGCGTACTTCTCGCAGCGACCCCACCACGACCACTTCCTGCAAACCTTCTGCTTCTGGAACCTGAAGCAGCGGGTCTTCACCACGTTGAAGAACACATTGCCTACCATGTCGGCGGCGGCGGTGCGGGACATCTTGAGGCACGCCTTGAACCTGTCAGGGTAAATAAAAAGACTAAGTAAGGCGCCATAATCTTAAGGATCACTACCTAGGTGACATGCCTCGGCACCCTGTGTTAAATTAGACTAAGACCAGCACTTATATTCTTAATAATCATAAGAAACCACACACACCAAACAATATTAATATAAAGTCATGATCATATTTAGGAATAGCGGGCGAGTGAAGGCCTGCCTCCTGAAGGTAAAATGGAGACTGATAAAGTAGCTGTTCTCTCAACCAGTACTCACTCTTAATATGACTAATACACACACACACAATCAGCATTAGCCTACACAAGTAAACTTATTAAACTAAAGGACCTAATATGGTTTGGTGATTCAGTTATAAACAAGGACACATTCAAGTGTTTATGTAAATGCCTATGCAGTTTTCTCATGTCTTTTTTTTTAACAAGTAAAAGGGTAAAAGGTCTGGTACACGGAAATGATTTAACAGGAATAAGTTTGTGTTTATAATGTGGTAACGATGAAGACGCCTGAGAGGTGGTGGTCACTCTACCGCCAGCTGACCAGCCTGACGGGTTGTGCGACTCAAGTAACCCAACCCCACACAGTATTAGGTCGGTGCACCCTCCCGGCCACATCTTTACTGACGTCCTCCATTATCCTCCCCTCCGCCTCCTCTATGCCCCTTAATTAACTGTTAATTATAAGGAAGATAGGCGTAATTTGTAGTAGTATTATCAGATGGTCCGGTATTCATTAAGGTCAACTATCATATTGAGTAAACAGCGTTGGCTATGAGCAGATCTGGTAACTGTGTCACCAGGAAGTAATGGAACTACTAATTACAGTAATGGGGTTTTATAGCGTTCTCCGGCATCTTATCAGTAGCGGTTTTATGGGAAGTAACAGTCCGCCATAAAATCACCACTCGGCAATATTCCGTATCTTTGAGCAAGTTTTTAAGACATGAGGCAGTATGGAGAGCGTTATCAGTGTTACACAGAGTTAGTTGGTGGGAGTTTGGGGCAGCCCGGCCCAAATCCTCGTTAATGAGTGGCCATCACGACGCCAACACCTCGTGCTGCTCACACACACAGGAAATTGAAACAACCAAAGATTAATACAGAGGCAGGACGATGGAGGCGGTGGTGATCGGAGGAGGCACCCCCGACCCCCTTAACACACAAACAAACAAACCACCCCGCCACTGGCACTCTCAGCCTGCTGGCTCTAATCATCGTGAAAGCATCACCCTTAAAGAATCGTGTCCAGGACACGACAGACAATAGAAAAAGTTAATCTACAGAGTTTGACAGGGGAGGCATCCATCTCCAGCCGACATCCACATTCCCTTCCGGCAGACAGTAGTGCCTCTCTCTCTCTCAAAAAAGAAGAAAAAAAAAACAGGAAACATTTCTCTCTCCAACATTAACCATTTTAATCAAATCGTGAAATTCCCTCCGGTGGGGGCGAGTTTTTCCCCTCCACAGTGACGAGGCTGAGCTGACGGCGGGTCCACTAATGCCACTAATTTGGCGGCGTCGCCCTGCTGATAAAACTTTGACCCAGGAAAACCCACCAACTTGCCGCCGCCCACCACCGCAAGAAACACACGCCGGGGAAACAAAACATGTATAAAAGAAACCACAGTGTGAGTGAGACGGAGGAGTGAGATAGGGCGGAAACGTGTGGCTGAGGCAGCCAGTAGTAGTAGTAATAGTACCGTATCTATAAAGTAGTTTGAATGTCCTAAGTGCAGTTTGTGGTCCATTATTTTAGTAAATATTTCATTCTTGTAATCTGAGGAATGAAGAATTAACATTACAGTCGACAAGCATGGCCAAGGCCTAGCGCGCGGCTCAACCAACACTGGATACACTGATTTATGAACAACATAAATTCTGACCACTAACGGAGATATAACTACCCCCCTCCAGCTACCCTCTATTATTACTATTCGTATACAAGACCACAAAGTGTCCCTTTTGTCACCATATAAAACTGAACAGGGACCGACCCTCGTAGCCTATCACCCCGAGAGAATAGCGTTGTCTTGCATCACTCACCAACCATGGTATATACCCCTCAAAGTTATGGCTCCTCTGGAGTAACCAAAAATCACGTCCACTCCATCAGGAAATTAAGTGTGTGTCTGTGTGTGTGTGTGTGTGTGTCGTTTTGAATGGCACAATGGCGAGGAGGCCGTGTGGTAGGCAGTCATAATATCCACACCATTGCACCGACTGGGAGGGTGGCCTGCAACGTCGTGGTCGGTGGGCCGGAGGGTTGTGGTGTGGAGGGAGGGAGCTGGGAGAGGAGGACCATTGTGTACAGCAGCTCAGCCTTTGTCCCCAGCAGGCCTCTCACTCACTCGCCTCACCCTTTGTTCACTGACTCTTGTACACATTTTAATGCCAGGCTTTAAATCAGGGTTATGTATCACGCCGAGGATTCCTATATAGCCTAATGAGATATTAAAAACGTTACCATTGAGAGTAAACCTAATTGTATCACCAAATTAACTAGGGAGGAACTTGGAAAGCTGATTACATTACTATCTGGTAAAGCGTATCCCAGACACTGAAATTAGACAACAATCAACTTGGGGAAAAGTCTGATGCCTAACCCAACACAGGCACTCCCAGTTACGAAGCCTTCTCCCCTCCTCCATTCTTTCCTCTCCTTTCTTTCTTCATTCTCCCGTCACCCATCTGTCCTCTTATTCCCCCCCCCTCCCCAAGTGATCTGTCACTCCTACATCCATCTTCTCTCTCTCTCTCTCTCTCTCTTATCGAACCCTAACCATTTTCTTTATTACTGTTCATGCCTGTTTCTCCTCTCCGTTCGTTTTGTCCACCTGTTTCTTATTTACCTTGTGTTTGTGATATTCTTATTTTTTGTTTTCATTAAAATTGTTGGAATCTTTTATTTTAATCTTTCACCTTCTAGTTTACAATTATATGGTTTAAGTTAAACTTGTGCAAATAATGATTACCTGGGTCTTCTTTGTCTCGGGCTTGCAAATTTATTAAATTGTTAGATTTCATTATTATTACACACGCACTCAAACTACACGCACGCGTGAGGCAACAATCCAGAACAATTGACTGTGACCCCAATAGTCGCATCTTACGGAGACCCGCACATTACACACTAAATTTGTGACGCATTTTTATCATAGTTGGCTCCCTCGAGAAAATAGCTTAACTAAAATTACCGGGACATCAGACTTATTAACGGAGTTTTTAAGTTGTAAGGACGGCCGTTAATCTGAGCAAATGGGAATGAAGCCGCCTAACATCACCGCCGCCCGCCGCTGTAAACACACAGGGACACACGTCACCTAGGCCTTAGTTAAACTGTTATTCACCACCGACACGACCGTCAGTGACTCGTGACACAGCAGGGTAGTGTGAACCCAGCTTCATATGTTAATGTTACGACCAGAGGGGTATTGTACGGCGGTGGAGGAGGGGTGCTATCACTACATGCCACTTTTGTTACCAGTCTCACCATACTCGGTAACCTCTAGGTTAGGCCGAGGCCCACTGCGGTTCTCCCTCCCTCAGTAATCTCAGCACATTCATATAACTGTCACTCCGATTCGTTACATCAACAAAGCTTTCCTTTCTCTCATTATCATAAAAGTTGAAAAATTCCTTCGTGTGCTAGAGCTTTTAACACACCCACCAGCTAGTTACATCGAGGGAGTGTTGGTGGCGGCCTAGGGCAGCAGGTCAGGCCGCGCAGGAAGAGAAATGGTCGGTACGCGGTTGTTTGAGGTCGTTTATTTAGCGTGCCAGTTATCGTGTTCACAGCTGACCGCCCACGCGGCCTTGGCGATTTGTGTGCATCTCGCCACAGCGCGACGCGGGTTTACTGTCCTCGCTGATGATAACGCGATTGTCCCTCACGGCCCATTACCATTATATATGTAACTAACACAAAACATTTGTGGCCCAACGCATCGCCGTGATGGAGGCCGTGTGATCATGTTCAAATCATTCACAAACACCGAAACTCTTAAAGTTCATGATGATGAACACAATACTAAAGACATGACAACAATGAAAACATAATAAACACATTTCACAGAGATAACACTAAGTGAGGCAGGACGGCATCAGCGGAAAGAATGGACCTCATTAGTTTTATCAACCATCCCTGGTGACCGTGTCTCAGACGGCGGGGCGGGATATCATCTTGCACAATATAACTATCAGTAACTCAGCCTAAACACCCACTAGATTATGAAAAATTGACTTTATCATAGGATATATTACAGTCTACCGTCATTATACTGCTTCCAAACATTTTCACCAATACTCTCCGAAAGAGGACACACACACACACACACACACACACACACACACACACACACACACACACACACACACACACACACATATTACGGGAGACAAGGGACAGTTGGAGTATCGTGGTGCTGGTGTAAGCAGCGTGGGGATAGAGGAGACGGATCACCTTACTCAGCACTTCCTAAACACAGTAACCTTAGTCTGGCGTCACAACCTTCTCTGCAACAATAAAATCTCTCCCGACCGTGGCCAGAAGATATAATTCAGCGTTATATAATATTCAGTTGCGAGGTTTTCAATGATGTGACTGGTTTTCAAGAGGCAAAGCAAAGAGATCCGGTTCTATCCTCAATATTATTATGACAGGAGGGAAGCGAGGGTTAAGCTGCTATCACCGCAACCACCAGACACTCCACCACAATCTTGGTCACGGCAGTATTAAGTTACCCCGTCAACATACAGTACACCTTGCTGTGGAAGTTGTACCATTGAGAATATTGGACTTCTTTCAGTAATTTATAATGTACAATACAAGACAGATATCCTCAGGTAACGCAAAGGAACCTGAAAGTTGTATAATATAATAGTTACCGACAGCTCATTTCATGGAACTAAATAAATATACTACTGTATATAATCCAATTATAAAGTGTAAGCAGTGTAACGGCTTAATATTGTTGTTATTCAATATGTGTAGTATATGGAGGGT